GACCACACACTTCCTCTGCAGCCGTGCAGCACCTCCTGTAACCGTCACACCTTCTGTGGCTCCCCGTGAGCAGGCGGACTCAGCAGCGTGGGCAGGGGTCCCTCTAGGCCAGTGGGTCTCAGCTTCCCTAATGCTACGACCCTTTAATGCAGATCCTTGTGTGGTGGTGACCCCCAACCATCAACTTATTTTTGTTGCTGTTTCATAACTGCAATTTTGCTAGTTGGCCCCTGTGAAAGGGCTGTTCGACATCACTACCACCACAGAAGGGGTCATGGCCCACAGGCCGAGAACCACCTTTGGGCTGCAAGGAGGCCTGTGGGTGGGCAGAGAGCTGCCACTAGCATCGCAGTAGTCATGCTCCGTCCTCTAATGCCACAGTCCTGTGCAGTGATCACAGTTGTGTCTCTGTTACCATGTTTGTGAAATGCTATGAAATACCATGCAGTATTTTACATATGAGCCATGGCGGTCAGCAGTGTTGTCTCTGACAGGCGTGTATTGCCATGGTTCAGCACATCCCAACATCCCCTTAAGGAAACAAGATGTTCTCAGAGCCAGGTTCTTTGGAAGTCAGGCTGTGGGCGAGAGGGCAAGGGGGAGATGATACGTGGAGTGAAAATCCAGCTCTGTGTGCAGGAGCCTCTGGAGGCCCGGAGGAGGAACCTTTGAAAGGAAACTGCCTCGAACTAGCCAGGGTTTGGTCCCATGGAGGCATCTGGAACCTGGCTGTAGGTTTGAGTCTATACAGGTGAAGGCAGCGGTTCCATGAGTATAGATGGCAGCTGGGGCTGAGATTGCTGAAGAGCAGGGAGGAATGGGAGTGAATCGAGAGAAGCTGAGTCTAGTATACCCCTCCTAATTCAGAGGACTTACCAGGAAATGGCAGGAAGAGAGAAGCCGGGGGAACCATAAGCATCAGTTCATTGAGAGCTGTGGAGGCCTCTGCCACCTCCTGCTTAGTTTCCTCAGCCCACAGGAAGCCATTCTTGCCTCATAGCAAGAATGTCATTACTGTCATTAGGCATTCAGCCAGCTATGTTACCCATTTCACTTGAGCCGTTCTGTGGCTAGGTGTTAGTTATTTGATATTAGTGAATCAGGTCTCAGGCTATGTTTAGGGGGGAACATGGACAGATGGTCGAGCCTTGACTTAGGCACATAGGCTAGTTCAACCTGGGGGCTCTCAGAACCCTGTGGCCTGTCTCACCATGGGAACTGCAGTTTCACAAAGATAACCCTGCTCCTTCTGGCTACTCACCCCTTCCCAATCTAGATCAAAACTCAGTTTCATTCAAAAGCCTTTCGGCAGCTAGGATGGTAGCTCTGTGGTGGAGTTTTGTCCTTTAGCACAAGATCCTAATCCTCATTAACTGTATCCAGTTCTTCCCTACCTACTATGGTGATGCCAGTTCCTTGCTCTCCAACACTGGCGTGGGGTGAACGGCCATCTCCCAGTGTTCTTCCCCATGGAAACTCTGGGACATGCATGTTCTTTGCTGCATACAGGGGTCTCCGGCAAGGTGAGTGTAGGCACTCTAGTGGGAGAGCTTTGACTGGAAACTGAGCATTTCAGGGGAGCAGAGACTGCCTCTGGTCACTGGCATCCAAGGGCTTGCCATGGAATAGGGCTCTGGAAGGGCAGAGTCACAATCTAAGCTCCTTCCAAGGTTTCATCAGGCACTGGAAATGCCTAAAAAGAACAGAGGACACCTTCCAAGGCAGATTTTCTTTCCCACTTCAGTTGCAAGACAAAGGACATGGCCTAAGCAGCCCCACCCCTGTTCTTCCATAGGCTTCCTGCACCCTAATGTTATGGCACACACTGAAGAGAAGCCGGCAGCTCCACAAAAACAGACAAAAACAAACTGACACTGCAATAATCATAAAAATAAACTCGGGGCTGGAGAGATGGTTTAGCAGTTAAAGACACTTGCTGCTCTTCAAAAGAACCTGATTTCAGTTCCCAATACCCACATGAGGTTTCATAACCCATCCATAATTCCAGTTCCAAGGGAATTGATTCCCTTTTCTGATCTCCATGGGTATCAGGCATATATATAGTAAACATACTTATACAGATAAAGTACTTAAACACATAAAAATTAATAATCAAATAAATAAATGAATACACATACTCAGCTAGGAAATTAGGAAATTGCTTTTTTTCTTTTTCTTTTTTTTTTTCCCCAGGTAAAGTGGTAACTTTCAGAGATTGTTTCTAAACAAGCCCCAGTAGAAATAATTTTTGCAGTGTGTTCTTCCATGATCTGCCTGAAGACCCTCTCTGCCCCCTCCCCCTCCTCTAAAGTCCTTCCTGGGTGGACTGTGGGTTGCTGCAAGCCGTGGGGGTTTTGTGATAACAGGTAGTTGGCCACATCCGAGGGTGACAGCCCTTGCTCCTGAGGGGCCTCACGACATCACTGCCAGCCCACACAGGATACTGCACCTGCTGACTGTAGCAAGGAGCGCAGTTGGTTGCTTACTTCCTGGCTAGGCTTAGAACTGCCGTGCTCTTACTCAAGCTGAGCCTGTAGGAGACCAGCCTTCAGGAAGTCTGTGGGACAGCGCTGCCTTCCTCTGAAGTAAAGTGTAGAGCCTCCATCTCTATGAGCCTGTGGAGTAACGCTAGTACTCGCGGATGGTGAGTGCTCGCTGTTTTGGCTGTGAGGTTCTGAGCAGCTGAGTCTCCTCTGCTTCCTAGCCTCTGATCACTGCCAAGGCAGGTGACTGTTACCCCTGACTCAGGGTTTTAGTGTCCTGACACAGTAGCTAAAGTTTGGGCTGAATTAGTGGTGTGTGAACTTTTCACCTTTGCTTATTAGATACTCTTTCCAAATGAAGTCTTAACGGGGACCGCAGCATTTAAGTGTAGAGGGCCACCCTGCCTACCCCTCTCCCTCTCCAGCAGTCCCCAGATGTCTCCTGGAACGCTGAAGCCCAGAGTGAGGGTCTGACTACCAGGACTTTATGTGTTCTGTGGTGACTGGGAGCTTGCCATGCTGACCTTTCTGAAAGAATTCTCCATCAGGGTAACAGCTCTGTGTCATTGGTACTATTCTCTTAGTGCTTAAGACATGATAACATACGCATAGCCTGTGTCTTGTTCCCCCTGACAGAAAGCAGTTCTTTATTCCTGTCACACTCAGGATGCTTTCACAGGGCATTCTTGGAGCCTTTTCCACTGACACAATAGTCAAGGTGGTGACCTGCCTATAAAGTGAAAGCCCATGCAAAGGATTCCCAAGTGGGACATCTGTTTCTAAGAATTACTGCTGTCCAGGATGTCTTGATGAGTCTTTTGTGGAGACCAGTCCTAAGCAGCCCTCGGGTATGCTAGTGCAATTAGAAACTAATTTTCTTCTTGGCTGTCGGTGGCTAGCAGTTCTACTCTAATTGTGTTTTTGTATTAATATTGTAAATATTTTGTTAAAAAGACATGTTGCAGGATATTTGATCACATTCTGAACCTTGAGATTGTGAACTAGAAAAACCTGTTGTTGTGGTGTGGCTCAGCCCTAGCACACACCTTTAACCCAAGAGCTTTCTGTAAACAATAGCTAAGTAAAGCCAACCAAATGTCAAGAGGTAGAGCAAACAACCAGTTGATAGGGAGTAAACATATGAAAACACAGGAAGGAGGGACATAGAGTTGAAGGGTATTTAAGACAAGGTGGAGAAGGAGAAAGGGCTTTTTCTCCTTCTGGGACATCGATTGCGTAGGAAGGTCAGCTGGGTGCTTTCTCTGCCTCTCTGAGCTAGTAGGCTTTTACTCCAGAATCTGGCTCCTGGGTCTGTATTGGTAAAATAGACATTTGGGATTTTGTTTCATAACAACAAAGACATGTAGACCAAGTTGATTATTATGAAATAACATGAAGTTCTATTAGCAAATATTCCTTGTTCTCAGACATTACCACTGGGAAAAATACAAAATGTTTAGATTGTAGAAATATTTCTTTAAACATGATGCAAAATGAGTAACAGTATTATCTTCATGTTTGGTAGATGGCTTCATCAGTTACTATTTTTTATAACATTTTATTTCCTATTCCTACCTGCTTTTATAATTTTGAAATGATTAGCATGTTATTTGAAGCAAATATTATTTAAGCTATAAATGATATTTTTAGGTAAATTTTGGGCATTGTAGTATTTCAAGCTGGAACATCTTTAGATGTTACATTTTATACAAAAGAATTTTATTTATGTGTATGAGTGTTTGGCTGGGGGCAGGGTGTGGTGTGGTGTGTTTGGGTTCTACATGACTGCAGTACCCCTTCCAAGCCAAGAGAGAGCATCACATCTTCTGGAACTGGAGTTAACAGACAGTTGTGAGCTGCCATGTAGGTGCCAGGAACTGAACTTCGATCCTTTACAAGAGCAGCCAGTGCTCTTAACCACTGAGCCAACTCCACGGTCCCCAAAGCTTATATTTTAAAGAAAAGTTTTGAACTTGAGTCATGTTTGGGTATCAGTGCTTTTACCTGTGAGTTTACTGAGCTGATGTGCTGTGAGAAAACTTATCTTATTGCCGTCACAGTTTATACATACTAGAAAACATTCATATCCATAATCTCTATTTTCCTAGAAGAAATGAATAAATAGAGTATACAGTTCTGATCCACACTTACTATTTTAAACAACACTTTAATCCTGGAAATTGTTCCTTATCAATAAAGATGTGTGGACCCTGCCACATAGTTACTCATCAACAAGACTAGAGGGCAACTCTAGGCTTTTTCTCTCCCTGGACCAACACTGTCAATTTTGGTGGTCATAAAGCACCTCGTAATCTGACCTTGAGAAACATGGTTCTTAAGATAAAGAGAGCTCAGGAGCACAAAAGCCAAACAAGGGCCACGTTTTTATATATCTGCCTGATATTCTTAGGTTGTGTAGCAAGTCAGTGTTTTATCTGGGATGGCAGGTTTCCTGTGGAAGTTTGGGTTAACTGACAGTTGTTTACCTTTTTTTTTTTTTTTTTTTTTTTTTTTCAGATATAATTTCTCAGCACCCAAATCCTTCTGCAGAAAAAGCCAGAACTGTGCTCGCTGTGGAAGCTGCCCCTGGAGAGCTGGTGGGAGACCGGGCCGCTCAACAGCCAGCCCCCGGGCATCCGAATTCCATTAACTTTTACTCTCTGAAGCAGTGGGGTAATGAGCTCAAGTGAGTCTTTTGGAAGTAGCATATGCTATTGAAGATGGATTCTCTCTGATAATGAGTTATAATGTGGGTTATATGTATATATGTGACATTATAAATCCACTTTCCGTTTATGAAGGGTCTTTGTGCTCTGCAGTATACTTTCACATAGGCCACTTTTTCAAGCTTTAAACAGTATGTTTGCTCCGTCTCTGGTACCAGGCCAAGTAGCATCAATAATCTCATCTGACTGCTTGACTCTGTGCGGTACATCAGATGCCTGGCATTTTACAGACACTGAAACTAGCTGAAGGGGGAGGGGAGGTGTCTGAGATCACAGGCCTCCCAGATGCTGGGCTTGTTGCTCTTCCAGCCTCACCCTGCTCCCAAATCTCAGGACTGGCCCAGAGTCTTGGCTGTGGGGTTCTGTTCTCTGTCCGTGTGTGGGCCAGTGAGGTAGGTTTTTGTTTGCTTGTCTTATTTGTTGTACTTCATTAGTTTTTAAGAAAGGCCTTATTGAGATATAATTCACCCATTTGCAATATAGTATTTGGTGGTTTTTCATATATTCAGAGTTATACAATCAATATTATAACATTTTGTTGTTGTTTTTGCTGTTGTTGCTTGGTTTTCTTTTGCTGTTTTATTTTTCGTAGCTGGGGTCTTGCCAAATGGCCAAGCCTAGTCTTGAACTTGTAGCTATCCTCCTGTCTCAGCTTCCTGAGTCTACGATATAGACATATGTGGGCCTGACTTAATTTTAGAACATTTTTGTCATCCCTAAAAGAAAGCCTTTGTCAATCCTTTCCTGCCTCTCTTGCCTTCTTCCCTCCCTCCCCACCTTCAGTCCTAGGCAACCACTAATCTGTGTTGTGTCAGTGTGGATTTGTTTATTCTGAACCTTTCATGTAAGCGGAAATTTCACTTAGCATAATGTTTTCAAGATGTATCAAGGTAGTGGTGAGAATATCATTTCCTTTTATGGCTACATGATATTCCCTTGTATCCTATCGTAGTTCCATTTCCTGCTGCTGTGGAAAAGCACTGTGACAAAAGCAAGTCTATTTACCCGGCTTACAATTCCAAGTTACACTCTGTAATTGTGGGGAAGTCAGGGCAGCAAGAGTCTGAAACAGCTAGGCAAGTCCCAGACAAGAGGGGAGAGGAAGGATTGCATGCATGTTGTGCAGCTCACTTCCTCCTCCTATCTATAGCCCAAGACCCAAAGGCTCTTCCCTCATCAACTACTGTCATCAAGACAGTCCCCCACAGGCTTGCCCACACTCCAGCCTCATCTAGACAGTGTTCATTGAGGCTCTCTTCCCAGATGATTCTAGACTGTGTCATGTTGACAGCTGAAGCTATGTCATAAGCCAGGTTTTGGTTATTTTGCTTATTATTGTTCGTTAGTTGGTGAACATGAGTTGTTTTTCATTTCTTGGTTTGTTTGTTTTTTTAATGCGTATATATGCATGTGTGCCTGTGTGCGTTTTCGTGTAAGAACCAATGGAGGCCTTGGACCTAGACTTACAGATAGTTGCAAACTGACATATAGGTCCTCTGCAAAAACATAGAAATGCTCTTAATTGCTTAGCCATCTTTCCAGCCCCTCTACTTCTTCACTGTACAATTAGTGGTGCTGCAAACACTTGTGTGCAAGCTTTTACATGGACACAGTCTTGTGTCTGTTGCTCAGCACCTACAGTTGCTAGACCTGTGATGAGTATAAAGAGCTGCTGGACTGTCCCAGTTATTCTGTCTGACACAGTGTGTCAGCAGTGTATGGCAGTGCTCTTTATGTATGTGTGTCATATACTCACGTGTGTGCACATCCCTGCACCCATGTGTGAACATCAGAATCTCTGCTTTATCCCTTGAAATAGATCTCTGGACCTAGAGCTATTACTCTCCTGTATTTACACACACACACACATGCACACACACACACACACACAGTCCTAGTGAATGTGGGTACACACACTCACAGTCCTCATAGTCCTCGTGATCCAGCTGTATTCACACACACACAGTTTTGGCTACAGGAGCACACCTGGCTTTAAAAAAAAAATGAATTCTCAAGTGTTCATGCTTGTCTAGTGAGCAGTCTTACCTACTGAGCCATCTCCCCAGCCCAAACTGTCATCTTTTTGATCCTAGCCATACTACTACTATGACTTGGCTGATGTCTTATTGTGGAATTGGTTTGCATTTCCATGATGACTAACAACACTGAGCATCTTTTCTCCTGTGGCCGTTTATTCATCATCTTGGGAGCAGCATAATGTTGGATCTATTCAGATCCTTTGCCTGTTTTAAATTGCACTGGCTTTTTATTATTGAATTGTATGTACTATTTGAATGGAGAGGATTCACAGATGTTGGCAACGGGGCATTTGGTAGACACAGAATCTTAGAAGACTTGGCTTGATTTGGAAATCGGAGTTAGTAGGAAGGTTTGTACTCTGTGCATAGATCACCGGAAAGCTTTCTCCTCTACCATAGGGCCCAAATCATGACCAGTGTACTGTCAGCCAGCTGTGCTCCAGCAGGCCCACTACGTGTTCAGAATGTCCTAGAAGACACTGTTGCAGCAACTGCCCTCCGCATACGTCTTCCTATGTATGCCTTTGTGGTTGTTTGTATATAAAGTCATTTTGTGTGTGTTCTCAGCACTTCAGAGATAACTCTTATTGGAACTGAGTAGAATGTGGCAGGGGTCTCCAGACTTCAGAAGACCAGCACTTGTGAAAAAGCTCACTATGAGGCTTGTCCATTCTGCCCCTGGCCTGAGCAGCGGTCTTGGCCCTCCGGACCTGCTGTGCTCCAGCCCATCCACATCCTGCCCCTCTTGCCTCTGACCATGTGCTCACCCCTGCATCAAAGAGTCATGAGTGCAGCAGCTCCCAGCCTCTTCATTTGACACTTGAGGTTTTCAACAGTGTGACTCAGTCTGTTGGGTAGCTGTTTTCCAAAATTCTCATTCCCTGGACCTCTACATTCTGGCCATTTGCTTCCTTCCTCTCCATCCGAGAGCCTCTGCCTGTCTCTCTGGCAGGGAGCCTCTTTCATCTCATGGAATCCCACTTGCCTTGTGGACATCTGACTGATCTGATAGAGCCGCACTCAGTATTTCCCAACCTCCAGGGGAAGTGAGTGGAGGAGGGAAGGGTGAGCTGCCTCCCCCAGGCCCTGCACTATATCATGCTTCTCAGTAACGAAAGAGTTCTATGCTCCTAGAAATGTCAGGAAACCACAGACACTCTTGCTTCATTTTTCATGTTAAAAAGCTGAGGCTTAGAGAATTAAAGTGACTTGCTCAAGGCTGCATTACAGGAGTGGGTGACAGAACTGAAAGCCACCCCAGATCCTCTTGCTGAGGACTTCATCTTCCTTTCACTCTTCAACATAAGAACATATCTGGGAACTGGGCATGATACCTGCAATGGCCAGCCTGTGCTGCCTGGCAAGATAGTCTCAATAAAACAGTAAGATCACATGGAGAGGACTGTTAGTTAGCCAGGTGTTTGTGCATCGCCTCCTGCTCTCAGAGTAGACAGTCAGTGAGGTGGAGACAGGCCTGTAGTACTGGGAACTTCCCATTTCCCTGAGCTTACAGTGAGTATTAAGTGTCTCTGCCTGGAAAAGAGAACGTATGTCACTTTTGTTCGTGATAACTCTCAGAGCAAGTTCGGAGTTAGTATCAGTAGAAGCCACAGCAGCTGTGCTGGGGTAGCGTGGCCGACTCCTCCAGAGAATCCTCGGCTGTGCCACTTCACAGTCCGATGTTTCAGGCAAGTTGCATACCATTCTGGGCCTACATTTCTCATGTGTAAGCCACTGTGTATACCTCGTGAGAAGGACTGGATGATAACAAGTTTATATGAATAAACAACATGGGACTCGGTTTTAAGGAAAGTGGGTGTCGCCGTTTTTTTGGTCTCTGGCAAGCCACTGTGGAGCTGCACAGGACTGCTCTCTAAGAAGCAGGATGCTCAGACAGGTTGCAGGTGGTTACAGTCAATCTTTTCTTTTTACTTGTGGGCATGTTTTAGGAAGGTTAAAACAACATGATCTGGGTGAGTGGAGAAGCTTTTCTTACTATTCCAGGGATAGGAACGTGCTAAGCAAGCTTGTGCCCTCTGAGCTACAGCCCCAACCGGGAGAGACCTGAATGACCTTAGAAATGGTAAAGCCACTTCTCTCAAAGAGGAATGGCTCAGATGGTTTGTTTTTGTAATGGAGTTAAACCAGTACTAAAATTAACTGTGGCCAGATTTTGAGGATGACCTGTGCTTCTGTGTGTATTGATTGTATTCACCACTTCAGTTGGGCCTTCCATGAGACACCCCTGTGAACTGAGAATGTAAATTTCACACTTGTCTAAGACTTGAGGGCCTTGCTCCCACAACTGAGTACAGATTTGTAAGAGTCTAACAACTGATGGCTGTCTTAATTACTTAGTTCAGTTGTCATGATAAAGTATCATAACCAAGGCAACTTGTAAAGGAAAATGTTTGATTTGGGGCTCACAGTTGCAAAGGGTTAGAATCCCCATTGTGGTGGGGAGCATGACGCAGGCAGGCAGGCAGGCATAGTGCTAGAGCAGTAGCTGAGAGCTTACATCCTTATCCACAAGTAGGAAGCAGAGAAAGCTAATGGGAATGACCTGGGCTTTTGAAACTTCAAAGCCCATCCCCAGTGACATACCTCTTCCAACAAGGCCATACCTCCTAGCCCTTCCCAAAGAGTTCCACCAGCTGGGTACCAAGTATTCAAATATATAGGGGACATTCTTCAAATCACCAGGGATGCCCATTGTACCTGTTTTTGTATTATGTGATTGAATCATTTAATAATCCTTCAAAATATAGAAATTTATTATTGATTTAAAATCAGTTAGATGCTGAAGGGGAAAATTGATAAAGGTAATCAAGCCAATAAAATATTTTTGAGAGAATGTTGGTGAAATGGTTGTGAGGAATCAGGGGGAAAAAAACTTGTTAAAAGCCTGTAGGATTCTAGGC